GGCCCCCGCGCCCCCCCCTGCCCTGCGCTTCCTGTGCCTGTTTGTTTTTGAGCCCTGCTGGTGGCGGCAGCGACCGCGGCGGCGGCAGGCGAAGGAGGGAAATCGTATTAATAACGCCCTGGTTCCAGCAGGAAACGGCCGTCAGACACGCTCGCCTCCCTCCCTCACCCCAGAGGCAGGAAACGCAGGGACGGATGCCAAGGCCCAGGGAGACCTCGGCCTGGCGGCGGCGGGGGCCGTGGGGCCGAAACACTCACCTGATGTCTGGGTAGTCCCGCACCAGCACCCCCACCTCCACCTGGATGCTGGGCGTGTCTTCCAGCTGCAGGACTTCAGCCAGATGGGGCACCACGGCGTCCAGCCACGAGGCCTGGGACTCCTGCGGGAGAAGGCGGGGGACTCGGCTCTGTCCCCAGACCACACCCTCCCGGGCCCCGCCCCTCCTGGCTTCGCTTCGCTCACGTGTGAACTGGGGCAGAGGACAGACTGTGGTCAGAAGTTATCTGGAACCTTTGGAAATTCGAAGAAAAACCCAGAGTGGCAGCTACTCTCAGTTTTGCAGATACTTTGGGGCACGGGGGCGCCCCTTAGAACCTAGGCCAAGTTTACAAACTTGGGGGGAACCTGGATAAGGTGCACGGGGATCGCTCTGCCTTCTCGATAAAATCTCCAACAAAATACCTCATAAAAATAAAAAAGTAAAAATGTCCAAGGACTTCAGACTGGAAACTCCTGGAATCGAGGTTGACGAGGCCCTTCCTGTCCTGCTGCTTACAACTGGGTACAAATCAAAGCTGGCGATTTTAAATCCTCGAATTTAAGAGCGCTAAGATTCTGAGTTTCCGTTGCGTTTGGCTTCTACCTGTGCTCAGGATCATCGCTAACGTCTGTGGAGAGGCAGCTCTGTGCCGGGTACGACCCTAAGCACATAACCGATCTAACCCCGCACAACGGACAGGGACCGCGGTTCTCCGCATTTGCGCGCAGGGGGCTGTCGCCACGAAAAGGCCGGTGTTTACGTGCGCGGAGGGGGTCGCTGTGGACCAAACGTTGACTGAGGGTCTGATTGGAAGTCCCCGCCCCGGCTCCCGGGACCCATACGTGGTTTCGGAGCCTCGGCCCCCCAGCCGCACTGACCAGCCGCCTGAACAGCCTCTGGAGCTGCGCTGCGTCCTCCCGCAGCCTCCCCGCCGCGGGGCTGC